CCTCTAGAGTAGACAAAAACTCCTCCCAGGCCAGGTCTTTGGCGGCGGTTATCTCACACCGCAGGGTCTTCTTAGCCTCTTGGTATGTAGTGTAGAGACACCGCTCCTCAGACTCGTCCCATCCAGGGCGCCTTCTTCTGTATCGAGTGTACCGGCGGCGGGCAAGCACGCAGGCTGAGCGCAACTGCGAAAGATTGTCCGACCACCAGTACACTCGGTTCGATCGCCGCGGTGACGGCCGAACTTTGGCCATGGCGCAGTCCGAAACGTGCGCCAGTACTCCGCCAACCCATTGCACGCCGTCGTCGACACATTTGTCCTCCATTCGGTGGGACCACGTCCCCACTATGGCGGCGAGTTCTGCTGTCTCTCGGTCCAGAGATCTCAGGGACCACATCTGCCCGATCTCTGGGGGGATTGCGATGTTCCGACTGGTCGGGGGTGCTGACGAGGGGAGAATGTCGAACCGAATGTAGCGGTGGTCCGACAAAGTCTCCACCTCGGTCAGCACTTCCCAGTCCTGCACGCGACATGCCAGGGCGGGACTCGCAAGGGTGATATCTACGACGGACCCGCCCTGCATGCGCACACAGGTGTGTGTGGAGCCCGTGTTGAGTGGCGCGAGATTGTGCTGCGCTATCCACGATATAAGTGCCTCGCCGCGGCTGTCGGAGACGGAGGATCCCCAGGCCCTGGATTTGGCATTTAAATCCCCCGCCACGACAACCTCGAGCGGTCTTCCCCATCTCACCATAGCGCTGACTTCATCAAGATACGCCTCGAATTCAGGTAACGAGCGGTTGGGAGAGAAATAGACTCCGACGACGACTATGCCGGCCACTTTCACGCCTACACAACCTCTTCCTCTCCTGGTAGAAACAATTGGGGGGTTGCCGCCTGCGTATATCGCGACTAGATCTTCAAGGTCCCCCACCCAATTGTTTCTATCTGGAACCAGGTACGGCTCCGATGCGACAGCGAGATCAATCGACCACTGCGCCAGGCTTTGGGTAAATAGATCTTGGGCTCTGGCGCAATGATTAAGATTTGCCTGGAGAAATCTTAGGGCCATGTTAATCTTCGACGATTTCTGCCACCTCCATTTCCTCCCCGCTCGGTGGGGGCGCATTGCGTGCTACTTCGACCCGCGCTCTCCTTTGGACCGTCTTTTTGGGTGCCGAACATTGGAAACTTCCCAAACGGTGCTTTGCGTCCTTGCCCGCCGCCGTGCACAGAATGCAGTTTGGTTGCGACGGGCAGGACGCGGCTTTGTGGCCCTCCTGTCCGCATTTATAACACAGACGGCTGCGGTCCTCCGCATCGCAGTGACTCGCCACATGCCCCTGTTGCAGGCAGCGGTAACAGCGCAGCTCCCTAGGTCTGCCGATGGTGACTCTAGCAGCCACCCAGCCCACTAAGAAACGGCCCGTCATCAGCTTCCTTGCTGTCGCAACAGGGACCTGGGCCCAGATGTTGTATAGGCCCGATCTGCTTTGGCGGAGTCGTCCAGTTCGGACCTGGTCGCCGGTGCATGTCCCTGCCCCTTTTTTGAGGATGGCCTCTTTCACTTCTTCAGGTGTTGTTGCGTCATCCAGCCCCTCGATCTTGACATCGACCAACTTCTCGGGTCTGGAGACCTTAATATCACTGTCGTGGTAAAGCTCTTGTAGCTTTTGCGCCAGGACATCAGCTTTAGGGGCGCTGGTGGCGCCGGGGATGCGGATAATGGTTGCCCCGGTGACCGCTCGACGGAATTGCACCGCTTCGACGCCGATTACCTCTTTCAGGTCGAGCTTCGACTTCGCCTCTTTGAGGACACCACTATATGTCAGTCCTTTGTTTATTGCCGCTTCAGTGAGTGTCACGACAACTGCGGCGCTTCGAGGCACTTTCAATCTTTGCGGCGGCTGTGCAGGCGCGGATGTTGGTGCCTGCCTGGGTGTGGCTTTGGGCTTGTCGCGTCGTTGCGCCTTACCATTTCTCCCGACAGTGACCCAGTTATCCTCGAGCATGTCCGGGTTGAGGGGACGGGGAGGAAGGGTCTGTGACGGTGTAACGGCGACGGGGGAGGTATTTGAGTTTTCGCCCGTCAGCGGCCGAGTTTTCTTCTTCTTCTTCTTTTTGCTGGCTTCTTTTTTGGAAGCCTTGCCCTTGCCCTTCTTGGGCGGCGCAGATGTTTGGCGCGTGAGTCCGCTAGGACCGGGCTGGGTCGTCATATGGGGCTCCTCCATCCTAGCTGTTACCCTGGCACCCGAAGCTGGCGCGGGCGTGGGTTTGGCAGTCACAGTCGCGAATGCGCGGGCCTCCTTCTTCTTATCCGACGCCAATGGTGGACGAAGGTTTTTCTCGGGGAGCAACCTGTCCTCCAAGGAAGCCAGGCGGGCATTTAACATACCACCCACCTGGATCATCACCGTCCGGCAAATATCCTCTAAAGAGGGGTCTTCTTTTGGTTGTGGAGGCCGGGCAGGGGCGGCCTCCATCGTCGTGTCCATGCAGGTATTGGCGGAACCCTGCTTCCGCACCTGCTCCATCTCCAAGCGAATTTCGGCCAGCTCCTTGCGGAGGCTGGTCATCTCGCCTTGCAGGCGGGTGTTATCGGCCTGCAAGGCACGTGTCTCCTCCGATATTGACCTCTGAGCGAGGCCAGCAACGTCCTCCTTTATTGCACTGACGGCATCGTGCAGTGCGCGAACGAAGGTCCCCTTTAAGTTGGACGATTTTTTCGCCACCCTTTCGACCACTTCTAGACTGGCCCCAATTCGCTGGAGCACGGTGGTCGCGGTGTCTTGTCCGTTGTCTGCAGCTCTCGGGTCGGATGATGAGCCAACCGTGGCCAGGGACGAGCGAGTTTTGCGGGCTTCCAAAACTGTCTCGAGCAACTCCGCCTCAGCTCGTGCCCTGGTCTCTGCCTCTGTAGCTTTTCGAAGGGACTCCTTCGCGGCCGCTAGTCCGACGTACTCGCCAGTAGTTGGCGGACGGCCGCGTCCCCTCCTTTTGTGGGCCCCCTTAGTCGGGGTGTCCGTGGAGCTTTCGCTCAACTCCAGGTCTCTAGGCCGCTTCTGGCCGCGGCCCTCGCTCCAGTATCTTCCTGGGCCGTCGTGGTCCAGTGACTCCATCGAACCAAAGCGGCTGGAGACGCTTATCATCGAGCCTCTGCTGTCTGACTCGGAGTCAGATGATCTTCCTGAATTATCTCCTCCATCCAAACCTAACCCTCCTTCCCTCACATGGCGAATGGCCCCCCCGTATACAATGGGGCCGATGGGCCGGCTGTCCGACCCACCAAGGGATTCCCCGCAAGCGGGACCCTCCCGGGTAGTTATTGCTTTATTCGTCATGTCCATGTTGAAAAAATTTCCCCTTGAAAACCCCCCCCGGTGTTGACGCCCTAGTCGCTGGACTCCCTCCAACGATTCATCCCTTCGCCGGGCGACAAAGCTTGGGATTAGGGTAATTTT